AAAAAAAAAAAAAAAAAAGAGAGCCATAATAAATTTAAAAAACAATTAATGAGGATGAGGTAAATAGGGTTTTCCCAGAAGTCTACTGATTACAACATCGGAACTAATGCTTGTTATACAATATAAGTACTGACAACTCATTCTTAGATGACTTGGTAAAACCAGTTAAGTATATACAACTGTTACATCTTAGAGAGTTTGACGATACAACAAAATAACACATCAAACATTCTTTCCATCAGCTCACTATAGCAGTAGCCAGTAAGTGTTGAAGGATAGTGGGTAAAAATTTTGTCCTAGCACCTCCAGAGTAACTAATACCCATCCATACAAATCATATTATTATAGTAGATAAATCTAATTAAAATTTGAGATATTCCAACCCTCTCCTAACTCCCAACACACAAAACCATACCAGAACTGGAGTCTGAAAGCCAGCCCTAAAAATAAATCTAGAAGAAAAACCCTTCTCTTAAGAATCCAAGTCAGGTTTTGAGAGCTGAAATTTCTTGAAAATAGAACTATGTCCCATCAATATTTCAGTTAATTCTGAATATAAATCATTCTAAAATGGTTTTACAAAGGCTTTATCTGTAATATGAGGGTGATAATAACAGAAGACACCTCCTAAGAATGCTGGGAGGATGAAATGAGAAATACATATAAACACTCAGAACATTACCAGCATGGAGTAAATACCCGAAAAGGGCTAGTAGGTATTTTTACTATCATCATGACATCATCTACTGTTGGAAGGTAAAGGAACTTGATGAAAACTCCTTGGAGGGCATTCTGATGATAATAACTAACAAATTTTAAAATGCATGTTAACTTCCTATATACTTTTAGAAATTATTCCTCAAGATATGCTCGCATAGGTATGCAAAACTGTACATACAAGGCTGTTCAATTCAGCAAATATTCACCAACATAACCTGGCTAAATAAATTATGAAATATCCAAAGAAAGGAAATACTATGCAACCATTTTTTAAAAATGAGATAACCATACACACTAATATTTTAAAAACTCGTATTTATTTACCCTTATATATGTTTCCACATTTTCTGTTAACAGAAGAAACTGCTAACTGAATACTTCTGGGTAATAAAACTGGGACCTAAGAAGAAGTGGTAAACTTTTGTTTTTTATTTTAAACATTCTTGGTATTTTTAAAATTCCACACTATGAGAATGTTATTATTAAACCATTATTTAAAAAACAAATAAATTAGTTCAAAACAAAACACTGGTCTAAAAGCCAGGGAAAAAAAATAAAAGAATTTTGTTTCAGTGTTTGGCTTTGTGTTTCCAGAGACAAACATTCCTCTTAAATGTATGAAAATATGTTGAAATAATGCAACACTTCCAAAGACAGTAAAAACCACATGCTACAGAAAGTATTAAATAAGATTTAAAAATGAATTCTAGAGTTTGCATTTATCTTGAAAGTTGAGAGTATATGAACTCCTTACTTCCTAGAAACAACACTGATATTGACCTACATCAACTCTATCTTCATGCCTCCTACAAATTCCAGCTCCTTGGAACTTCTGCCTCACAGCACCAACCCTTCTGCCTCGCTAATTTCAAGCAGAAATTGGGCTCTGCTGCTCCCTCTTCCCCAAATAAGTCTTCACATTCTAACCCCCTGAGAAAAATGGCAAATATGTGGCAAAATGTAAAATATGGCAATTAAGCAAGACAACTCCTATTCTCGCCTCCCTCTTTCTCAAAAGACCTCAGAGAATGGTTGCTGTAACCTCCTCCCAGCTGTAGATGATCTCAATGAACTCTTTAAAACAAATACTTGGAGGAGCTCTTGAGGGACTCAGCAGGTTAAGCATCCAACTGTTGTTTTCTGCTCAGGTCATCATCTCACAGTTTGTGAGTCTGAGCCCTGCATTGGGCTCTGCACTAACAGCACAGAACCTACTTGAGATTCTTCTCTCTCCCCATCTCTCTCTGCCCCTCCCTCATGTGTGCTCTCTTTCTCAAAACAAATAAATTAACTTTTTAAAAAAAGAATTAAATACTTGGGTAGGTTAAAAAAAAATAAACTGGACATGGCTTAGACTAAAGATCAAAGTTACTGGTTTCAGGGTTCTGGCACAGATAGACAAATAGAAATGGGAATCTTGGAAGGTAAGTACTTCTGTACTTAACCCGTTACAGAAGGAGAAAAGAAACAGGGAAAAATGGCATATCAGCACAGTAGATTATTAGCAGGCTCTACCCTTGACAAGCAGGACATCAGGCAAAGACTGGGAAACCTTTGTGTCACTATTACAAACCATGATCTTAGCCCTTTAAAAAGCTCTCCTCCTCCCCCATTCTTTCACATGAAATTAATCTTTTCCCTCAATTCGGACTTTATTCAACGTTTACTTCATCAACTTCCTTTAAATTACAACAAACCGTAAAAACGGTATATATGGAACATACCTGTACTTCAGAGACTGTACATAATCTTATGCTAGTTAAATATAATATTTACTGTGAGGAGGGGAGACTGCACTCAAGCTAGTCCTCTATCAGTTATTCAATTTTAACTGATTAATCACATGCTCTACTGAGCACTGTCAGGACTAAAAGTTTGTGTTCTAGTATTGGAATAAAAGCACCTCTCAAATACTTGAAATTATTTCTCAATTATAAAGATCAAGACAAGATAACTAGTAAACAATAAGAACAGAGTACTTAAAGGAAAAATAATATTAATTACTTTTTTAGTGTTACTACTGTGGTTGAATGTGAAAGAAATCTATCACAGAGCTATCTGAAAAAATCTGGATCTTAGAGTCATGGTTTAATACTACAGTCAGTAGTTTATTTATATGGCTTAAAAATAAAAGTTAATCGAGCCTCCAATTCCTTCTCACAGCAATGAAATCCACTAAAATGTAGAAAAAACTTAAGCACAAACACAATGCAATAGCAGGTTTTGCTCAACTTAAACATTTTTACCTGAGGGAACAGTTGGATTGTTTTGGTGGTTTTCACTGGTAGAAACAAACAAATCTTCTTCTCCTTCAGTTGATGAGCTGGAAGAGGATTCGCTGCTGAGGTCATTCTCACTGGAACTACTAGAACTGGGGAGCAACGCGTATTTTCTTCGGGCTAATACTTCTCGTTTTTTCCTCTGCATTAATATCCTCTCTTTTTGTTTCTGTGTCCTCTGTGAGGAATTATTTTTCACAAATCTCTTTCTGCATGGAAGTCTCCTTAATGAACTGCTATGAAAACAGGGTCTTTTCATTAACAATCCTGAAACAGATTCTGTCTCTGTCCGAGGCCACTTTTGGGACCGTGCACTATGAGTTCTACTTTTAGCACTCAAAATTGCCTGGGAATGTCTTACAGAGACTTCTTTATCCTCATCTGAAGTCACAGTGTCAGAATCTCCAAAATGCAGACTAGATGAAGGAGAAGAAAGACAATCACTAAAAGAGGAATCATTATCTTCATCGCTTGGTGTTTCTAGGTGTTGCCTCAATCCTAATATTCCCTGGTTCTCTTTAACACAATTTTGCATGTAAGAAGGGCCAGCCTGCTGGCTTTTGCGTTTTTTCCTCACAACAACACTTTTTTCTTGCTCTTGTTGGTTACCATTCATGTCCTTCTCTTGTTTTTGAGAATCATCACACAAATGAGAGAATTCATTCCCCACTTTACTGTTAATCATCTCAACTCCTGCAGGAAAACTTTTGGCTGCCCCAATGGGCTGTGGATGCAAGAGGATCCCTTTCAGACTCTCCTGTGTCTTTGGCGCATCAGAAGGAATCTCACTCTTCATATCCACTTTTAAGGTATAGAGCTTGTTATATTCAGGAGTCCATTGAGACATGGGAAACTTTAAGGGAGGCCTAAAAGACACAATTAGAGATTAAAAAGATGGTTAATGTCTTTTATTATACTAACTGAAGAGTTTCAGATTCCACTGAGAACATCCCTATAATAAGGCAGAACTGTCCTTCCCTGATATATCAGGATATAAAATGGCTATAAGTCATTTTACTGTTCTTTTAAGGCGTATTTCTCTGATACCTCTTCCACATACTCAATTTTTAGAAATATAGTAAAGATTATAGAACATAAGCCTACTTGAAAACTTCTATTAACTAAAACCTTACTAAGTATCTTACTACCTTCAGTAACATATTTGGTCAAAATCTAACAATTTCTTCAAAACCTATTACAGTAATCAGAGATTAAAGGACTAGCATTCAAACGATTCTGATTAGTCAATGTGTTTCTCCTGGTATCCTGAAAGTGGTAATTAAATATTTCTTGTACATCTAGATGGTTACCATATTAGAAAGATTACTATAAATAATGATCTAGTAAAAATATATCTTCTCTTTCCCATGGTTCTTTTCTTCATACTACTTTGTTCTCTGATGAGAATCTGAACTCAATGACAGACAAAATACACAATTACTGCATTTCCCAAAGTTTTAGATACATGCAGAAGGACTCCAGCTAAGACTGTGAGTTGCTAAAGATCACTCAGTTAGAGCAGTAGACCAGAACATAAAACCAAACTTCCTAAAACTAACCTAAATCTTTCTACCTCTGAAATCAGGGGCTGCTGAGCAACAGGACTTAAATTAATGCACCTACATTAATGTAATGTATACACAAGAACTGTGATAATGTAAAAGTAATAAATAAATATGACTCAAAATGCAATGTATTTATTAAAAGGCAGTTAATTGTGACAAGAGCAAAATATGATTAAATAATGTTAACATTTTTAACTTAAGCATTTACTTAAGTATAACAGACACATATATTCTAAATTTATAGCTCAATGAACTCTCACAAAATGAACGTATCTATCTATGTAACCTCTAAGATCACAGAACAGAAGATAACCAGCATCCCAGAAATCCCCTTCCAGTCATTCCACCTACTGGGAGTTGTAACCACTATCTTCCAGAACAGCCAATGCTATAGAGACAGAAAGTAGAGTAGTCATTGCCTGGGGCAGGAGAACAGGATTGGGATGTGATGGCCAAAGAGTGTAGGGTTACTTTCAGTGAACTGAAAATGTTTTTAAAACTGACTGTGGTGATAATCAACTTTGAATATTGTAAAAACCTCTGACGTACACACTTAAACAGGGAGAATTGTAATGGTATGTGAATTCTACCTCCATAAGGCCATTGTCAAAAAGTCAAGAGGGAAAGTAGAAGATAACTATGGACCCCTCTCCAATCCCATCAAGTGTTACGTCATTTGGAAAAATCTGGGGATCTTCCAGAAGTCTACATCTCCCAGGAGTCTTGACGAGTTGGATCACTGAAAACATAAGCTTTATATGTTGCAGAAAAAAAACCATTTCAGACTCCTCACCCTTAATTACTAAGTTACCCTCTGAGTCCTGGTAATGGAGATCCTGAGAGGCAATGAAAACCTGCCAAAAGGACAGATCACTTCTGAGAACAGGAATCCATAAGTAAATTTACAAAGAAGTGATTCATTGCATAATTTATTAAACTCGATTTCTTTTCCATTAGTTTATGCCCCAAAGCCAAAATAATGGAACTCTTTATGGTTAACTCTGCTCTGGGTTTTGGAGAATTTTATCTGTCCAGCTGACAGCAGGGAGAGAATAAGGGACAGGTGGTATACGGTGGCCGGTGGGGGGGGGGGGGGGGGGAGGGAAGGGGGGGCATGCGTGTGTTTGCACACCAATAACTGTTCTCAGAGTAATCTGTCAAGCATACATCAAATGCAAAATTAACACCCCATGTTATCTAAACTGTTCCCACCAAGGGAGTACTTTAATTCATGTTCTTATTTTAAACTGAGAAAAAGAAGTTCATGAAAAGAAACAAATACCAGTACTGCAGTTTTTAACTAAAAACACAGCAAAACTAACACAAAGAATCAATAAAGAAGGTTACAAACTCTTTGGTATTTGATGAAATCATAATGTAGTCTTTTATTTCCTTTTTTTACATTTTTTTAAATGTTTATTCATTTTTTGAGAGAGCACAAGACAGAGACAGAGCACAAGTGGGGGAGGGGCAGAGAGATAGGGAGACACAGAACCTGAAGCAGGCTCCAGGCTCTGAGCTATCAGCACAGAGCCCAACATGAGGCTTGAAACCATGCCCTACAAGATCATGACTGAGTCGAAGTTAGATGCTTAATGGACTGAACCACCCAGGCACCCCTCTAGCCTTTTATTTCAATAAAAATGATTGGTTGAGCTAATTTAAAAAGGAGGTTAAATATGTACTAGATATATCTATCTCCTTAGCCACATCAGGGCTGGTTTGCTATTATACATTGTTTCAACACTGAATCTACAGGACTAGTACCTCTTTGTGAGTTTGATCCGATCATTTTATTGCTATGTCATGAAAGTGGCATACCAATTACTCCTGATATTAGTATAGGATACACAACTAGTAGTAAACCTTCCGTGAAAAAAAGCACAATGACTAAAAATGTTAACTTTCAGAACTAAAAATTAGGGTTAGGATTTGGCAATTTACATCATAAATTACACTTATGTGGGGCGCTTGGGTGACTCAGTCAGTTGAGTGTCCGACTTTGGCTCAGGTCATGATCTCACAGTTCGTGAGTTCAAGCCCCGCGTCAGGCTCTGTGCTGACAGCTCAGGGCCTGGAGCCTGCTTTGGATTCTGTGTCTCCCTCTTTCTCTGCTCCTCCCCTGCTCACACTCTGTCTCTCTCCCAAAAATAAATAAAGATTAAAAAAAAAAATTTTTTTTTTAAATAAATTACACTTATGTGAGAAGTGGGAGTAAAAACTCATTAAGATTATGGATACAACTTTGAGGAACTCTACTTCTAAACTGAAATATGTTTTATAACAAGTCATTATTACTGGTATGAACATTAACCACCAATGATAAGTATTGTTAAGTTTAAATAAAAATTTGATGAGAGATTTTACAGAGCTCTAAAAGATTTTTAAAAACATCCATAAGATGATTTTGTATTTTTCTATACAACTTTTAAAGATTATCAGAAAAGGAACTAGAACTATGTCCACTATTTATCCACTTTTTTCATGTAAGTGGAAAAAAAATAATACTTATACCACTGGGATATTAGAACATGTTTTGAATTTTTAACTCTCCTTTATTGATATTTATTTTACTAAGTGCCAGTGAAATCAAGTACCTGACAGAATACTCTCTCCTAGTACACCTAAATGCTTAATAACTTCCACTACTTACAGCTAAATAGTATGGACAATACGGTTTGTTACATATTTTGAATAGTCAAAATTTCATTTAGCAAGAAAGATGTTTCACCCCAAAAGGCACCATTCTGGGCTCACAACTACATTAGCAAAACGCTCAAAACAAACGAAATTTCTTTTTTTTTCATTTTTTTAATGTTTATTTTTGACAGAGAGAGAGAGAGAGAGAGAGAGAGACAGAAGGAGACACAGAATATGAAACAAGCTCCAGGCCCTGAGCTGTGAGCAGAGCCTGACGTGGGGCTTGAAGTCAGGACCACGGAAATCATGACCCAAGCCAAAGTCAGAAGCTTAACCGACTAAGCCTCCCCGGCGCCCCATCAAAACAAACTAAATTTTTTTTTCAAAAAATTTTTTATTATGTTTATTTATTTTGAGAGAGAGAGACAGACAGAGTGTAAGTCGGGGAGGGGCAGAGAGAGGGAGACACAGAATCCAAAGCAGGCTCCAGGCTCTGAGCTGTCAGCACAGAGTCCTATGCAGGGCTCGAACCCATGACTGTGAGAACATGACCTGAGCTGAAGTATGAGTTCAACTGACTGAGACACCCAGGCACCCCAAGAAACTAAATTTCTTAAAGAGACAGTTCTGCTCTTACAGGTAGTAGGAGCACACAATCTGATAATATACTCAATTATGAAAAAGAGTGAGGGTAACCTTGATAAACTTATTAGCAAATAATAATTAACTTTCAGAGTGATTGATACCTGATGGAAAGAAGGAAGTTAGTCAGAATAACTATTGTGATATGGCCAAACTCAACTTCTTTTAGGCGGCTAGATATAATAAAAATGTGAAAAAAGACCAATGATTAAGACAACCTCACCTAACTAGGAAATAATGTTCAGAGGATAGACTGTTAGCTATCAAATAATTCACTTGATTCTTGCTGACCAAAGGCATCAAGATGAAATAAACAATTACAGACAATACACTAAAGGTTCCAGAAGAAGCAATTATAGCTATAATGTTATCAGAGTGCAAAAGAAAGTGGGATAATGTAAAAAACTTCCAGGATAAAACTCACAGAACACTTAAACTGCATTTATTGAATCAACAGTTCCAGCAGGTCCATTATGGTGTGTATCAGGGGCTGCATGATACAATGATCCAACTACTGACATTATAAAATTAAGATCACAGTCCTAACCCTCACAAAATTCACAAAGTGCGGAGAGAGAGAAATACAGATTATAAAACACTAAAGGGAAAAAAAAAGAATATCTTCCAATTTGTGGGCACATACTTTGTGCCATATACAATATTCTGCATGTCTAGCTCCATCAAAATACTAAAACTTAGAAAGTTTAAGTGACTTGTCAAATAGTAAGCAACACTCAGAATCCAAACCTAAAATTGAAAATGAGCAAAGGAATTGAATAATCATTTCTCCAAAGAAGATATACAAATGGCCAATAAGAACATAAAAAGATGCTTAATTATTTCACTAATCATTAGGGAAATGTAAGTCAAAAATACAATGTGATACTACTTCTCACTCATTAGGATGGCTATTATCTAAAAAATAAAGTGACAAGTATCACTAAGAGGTAGAGAAACTGGACCCCTTGTACACTGCGGGTGGGAATGTATAATGGTGCAG